AAAAAAATAGACCTTTCCTTTCCGTACAGGTCTTTGCAAACTAACAATAAGAGACCGTATTATATATAAGGCGTACGACTTGTGCCACACATTTGTCGTTGAAATTAAACGTTATATTAAATGGCAATTATGAGAGAGATTTGTGGCGATAAATGGACTGAAATTATTTGGAAACAACACTACAATTAATATACAGTAAAACATAATAAGAGAGAGAGAGAGAGAGAGAGAGAGAGAATTATTTTACGAAACAAGTGATTGTGATATAAAACATTCAGTGAAGCGAACGATGAAACATAAGAAACCACTTCTTCGTCGTTCTCTTGGATTCAGTTCAGCGACTCCTTCGCCGAGTGATGGGTTAATAGGGTTTGCAGTGTCTTAAGAGCCAATGGCCGCCGCGGCAGCCATTACTGTGTGGCCAGAGATGAAAAAGAGACGGCAGATGTGGCAGACAAGGCAATCGATAATATACTTATGGTTATCCTCTTTCAAGTGTATCTCTTCGCCACATTTGAGAGCATTTATTGTTAACTCAAATATGAATGCAATATATTATCTACGCTGGCATTGAATGGCCAAATGGCGGTGACTTAAGCGCTGATAAACCTGTTATGTTTGCGAATATTTAAAGGCGATTACAATTCCAACGATAAAAATCAATATATATTTTAGATATGCGTTCATAACATACAAGTATAATATTATACATACTTTACACGACTTGCATATGGTTTGTATGGTTTTGAGACACTTTTATGATTATTACAAACCTTTGCTCCCATAAAGCGTTTTGTGTGAGAAACTCATCAAATATATAGTCAAACAAACATATGATAAATAAAAAGATTATTTGAATTTTAGATTAGAGGCCGAAGAATATAAGAATATCATAAAAAGTATTGAGACTTTGTTTTGTTGGATAATAAAAATCATTGCAAAAAACAAACAAAAATACATAAAACATGAACAAAATTTTCTTAATCATAATATTTATCGGATATTTTTTTTTCGGACACAAAAGCAAAATAAAAATGCTTAAAAATTCTTGTACAACAAAGAGAGATGCGTTCAATACATATATAAAAATGTCATTTTTCTTTCATTCAATTTTCTTTTTAAACATTTGCACAACAAATAAAAGAAGCGATTCTTGTATTTGTAAAACTCTATCGCAAAAAATGTCTTATTTTTTGGCAACACTTCACACAAAAACTTTGTAATATTATACTTAAAAATCGTATTTAAAATAAACAAATTTAATATATTTATTCAGCGCTTTTTATGTTAAAAGTACTAAAAATAAAGCAAAATATTTATCAATCTTTAGATGAAATGTGTTTTGAAAATCAAAAGTAAAAACAATGGATTATTTTAAGGATGTTTTGAGTTTTATTGAGACTTAAATTTAATAAAATAATTCATTTCAAAAAATGCGTTAAATATTTACATTTGAATCTCAATATAAAAAACTTAATTCAATAGTAATTGTTTAGAAATTCATATGAAATGTCACTATAAAAGCATAAGTAATAAAACAAATGTCTATGGCTTTGGTTAGAAAGTGAGACAATTAATGTCAGAGATTATTAAAAATTAATTATAATTAGTATTATATAAAAGATTTTTACATTAAAACACTATTTGTAACAAAATTTGATGATATAATTAATAATTCAAATATCACTTGAAATGAAAACATATAAATAGCAAATGAATGGAAAGAGAGTATCGCAGGGATAATGGAAATGAAATTATAATAATAACAAATACCCTGATAATCGAGTCAATCATTATTATCCATAATATAATAATAACAGTAATTTAAAAAATGCACAAAAAATTTCGGTTCAAAATTTTAAAAACTAATTTATTATAAAATTAAGTTATTTTTTATCTAATAATGGATTTTTGTTGAATAAAACAAATGAATTATACTTTTTGTGTTTTGTCACAAGTGTTGCCTCGAAATCAAAATTATAAACAAAAATAATATTTGTTTTGTTTTAAATACAAATTAATAAAATTAAAACATCAAAAGATTTGTGCGAATGTCAGTCACTCTTTTCAAATGCAAACAAATGTTTTATAAGTTAATAATAATTAATGAATTAATAATAATTGTAATAATAATAATATAATAGATTATAAGAAAAATCAAGTTGTTTTAAGTCAAATAAGAATTTCATTTCAAATTAAATTTTTAAACCTATTATTTCATAAGAACAGCAAAAAATTGGTTTTTCTTTCATATTTAAAAGTTACAAATTAATCGAAATTAATTTGTTTCTCATTTTACTTTAGTTTTCATCATATTTTTTGATACCTTTATATATAAATGTGATTTACGTTTACTGTGAGAGAGAAATGTGTAAGTTATGGTTTTGGTTGTTGTTTACGATTCATAAAATACAATTCAATTTGAAGTCAATTACAATTATGAGTAGTTTTGTCTGTAGTTTGTCTTATGTGTGAACTAAACAACCATCGATACAAACAAATCGGGAGACAAATTATAAAATGTAATCGTAATTATAATTATATATAAAAAACGAAACATAAATTATAATTAATATACAAAATACAATGTTATGTAAAAACAAAATAATCGATTCGTTTGTTTGTTAATTATATTTATATTTGTGTTGTAATTGTGATGTCAATGGCATAGAAGATAGAGAGACAGATGGGATGGGAGGGAGAGAGCTATGGATGGGAGAGAGAAACATAGATGTGATGTTTGTGTATGAAAAATGACAAATGTATACAATTTGATGACCAAAGAGAGAGAGAAGAAAACTTATTAATTATGAAGAGATGAACAAATAATATATGGTTAAGGAATGGGATGCTTAGGAGTAAACACTTCAATGGGCTGTATATTAAATGTATACAATATTTGGCTAATAATTCATTTTTTTCTGGTAATAGAAGTGATATATAATAATATAAACAACAAATCGTTTTTCATATCCAAAAAACTTTTTTTAAGTTCATTCCAAAAGCAGTTTATAATCAGTTATTAATTTCAATAAAAAGTCGTTTGTGTTGTCAAAAGGTATCCAGTTTTTGATAAATACCATTGAAGACTAGGGGCGACACCACATTGCCGTCGGGTCAGACGGTTGTCGTCTTTATTACATTTATAAATTGCCGATAAAAACTCGCGGTTAAACACGAGTCGGCGTTTCCATTCAAAATTCATTGAGAAATAATTAATAGTTAATTGCAAATCATTTGGTGACAAAAAACACACCGAAAACGAGGGGTATTTTTGTCTCACATTTTTATATATCTATATGTGGTTCAAAGTAAATGGTGTCGACTTTTATGGTTATAATTTCACTCTTTCGTTAAAAATTCACTTTATAATCAAAATTCGTGTTTTTGTGCTATTATTAAGTCCTAAAAAACTTATCAATCATTTTCTTTTTTATACATTTATTGTTACATTTAGATGAAGACACAAAAGCAAACAAACGATACAATCGTTTATCCAATCGGTGTCTGAGTTATCAGTTTTAATGAGACGAAGAACTATTAGAAGATATCGGATACGCGAGAGTGAGAGTAGAACTATTAGAAGATATCGGATACGCGAGAGTGAGAGTAGTGTTTACAGTGTATGTAGTGATAAAACTAATGGATGAATGCAATGGCAAAATGCTATGACTTTGTGGTGAAGTCTATTTTGTTTCCATTAATAATTATTCGGCGTAATCGTCATCACAGGAGGTGTACATCAAAATACAGTTCATAATAATTATAATTAATTAATAATAAATATTACATCCACTTGTCGTCCAAATACGTGTATATTGTGGCCAAACAAACGGTATATTCATCTCTTAATTCTTCTAAAATGAGTTTACTTTAAATAATCAATATTTTAACGAAAAACGATTTGTAATCATTTGCTTTCAATTCAATTAATATTTATTATACGATGTATTGAATTAAGAAGTTATAACCAAATGAATAGAAGAAGAGTGTGTTTTTGTTTCATACGGTATTTTTTCAAGTATTAATAGTCCGTAAAAAATAATAATACAATTTCATTAATCAATTTGAAAGTTAATCGGAAACCAAACGTGTGTTTGATTGGCAGCCAACAGAGAATTGACAAAAAATAATAATATTTAAATAATTCAAAAATTAAAAATAAAGTTTTACAACAACTGCTTTGTGTCGCAAACTATTTAAAAATTATAATCATTTATAATAATAAAAAAGTCTAAGAATTGCTCTCATGTTTTGCGATTTTTATGTGCATCAGAAGAGAAATGTGTACTTAAATAAGAAAATTGTTAAAAACAAAAGTAAACTCAAGTCTTCTGTGGTGTTAATAAGTAAAATGACATATAATTATAATAATTAAAAAATGGAAATATTATTAAAAACTAATACAACTGAGAGATAGAGGAGAGAGTTGTGAGACAACAAAACTGCAAATTTTCTTTGTGTGAAGTGTTTTTGTGTTTGTTTTTCATTGTTTTGCTAGAAATGTCTTATAATCTCTCGGCGTTTGGATTAAACGGCAAAATGAAACGACAATTAATGTGTTGATTAGAGATAATGTCTTGAATTAATGTATAATCCGAAAGTATGTGTGTGTGAGAGAGACCAATATTCATATGAATGGTATGAATATTGGTTTTGTTTCTTTCAATTAAAAGTATTTGCTATTTGTATCGACAAATGTGTTGAGACAATGGATATAAAAAACAACACAAAAACAAATGTTCTCTTTGTTAAGTCCTTTTATAATCAATCGATTATTTGCAGTAATAATTATAATAATAGCTTAGAGTTGAGTCCGACTTGCGATACGAATGAGAAGAATCTCTTAGAAGAAGAAGGAGAAGAGGTTGTCTGTCGTCGGCTTCGGTGGCGGAGAATGGAGAAGATGTGATGAAGAAGAAGATGGAGAAGACGTTCAAAGAGATGAGAGGGTGTTGTGTGGATGTGTCAGTCTCTGTCTCCCTCCCTCACAATGTGTCTCAATTCCATTGATACGGTCCCTGGAGTTGAGAGTAAGCGCCGGCGGCACCAGTAGGCAAGTATGCGGTGGCGTTGGCCTGGATATTGCCGGCGTGCGCCTGATTATAGTTGGCGGCCGTCGCACCGGCAGCCGACGGGTGAGCGAAGTTGGCGGGGAATGAGTGCTGATTATAGCCGGTCATCAGTTGGGCTGAAAAAGCATTAGATAAAGACAGGTGTGAAGACATTGGATGCATAATGGATGGCATAATGTGGTTGGTATTGAGTGCTATACTTTGTTGTTGCGCTGCGTTGGGACTGGGGGTGAGTCCCTGTGTGGTCGGCGGCGATGAGGAAGCGGGTGATGGCGTCGATTGACTCTGTTTTGTGATCATGTTTGAGGTCTGATGGTGTTGTGCCGACTGTTGCAGCGAATTCGAGTCCGAGTCCTCGTTATCAGAGGCTTCTGTCGACAGTCGGGCCTGTTTTGGTGACGGACCACCCATTGCCACCTGAGGCGCCCCCTATAGCACAGACCAGACACAACCACATTAGTATCCATTATCAATATAGCATTCATACAATAAGTCTTAAGGCATTAGATTTGGTTTCAATTAATCTTTTATTGTCAAAAAACTGGGCATTTAATGGTCAGGAAAATGAGGCAATCGTTTCATAGAAATCATAATAAAACAGATTAGAGACAAATGAAAGTGAAATTAATTACAAAGAAATAAAACTAAATATAACTCATAATAACTCACAAACATATTAACACAAAATCATATGAGAGATAAAAAATAAAAATATGTTTTGAGAGATGTGAAAAAGAGAGACAGAGAGTAACAAAAAAAAAGTTATTTAAATCAAGTGATGGAAAGTGAGTATAAAAATGATGTCTACCTTTCCCTTAGGCTGTTGTGCCTTCTTGTGCACAAAGCAATGAGAGAACAGGAAAACGAGTAATAGTTAATAGATTTTCATTAGATTTCAGACAACTTTTTATTTTATATAATAATTAATTTCGAATTAAATGCGATTTTCATTAAATATATAATAATAATAGAAAGACAGCAAAAAAAAATGAGACAAAAAAATCAGTGAATGAATGTGTGATAAAGAGAGACAAAAAGACAAAGTGATCGACAGATAGACAGTTTCAAAAAGACATTAAGTAAATGGATATAATTGTCATTATATTATAATAATGTAATCGTAATACTAGTAATAAATGTAAGGATTAAATACTAGAAAGTGAATATAAGTTTGTGTCATACGAGTCATACTTTTCTGCGGTAGTCTTCCATAGAGGCCTCGTAACGGATCTTCTCTTCGTTCTGCTTCTCAACGTACGGCCGTTTGTCCTCTTCGGTCATATTCCTCCACCGCTCGCCGCCGAGCTTCGCGAGCGCCGCCACTCCTCCCTCGGGCTCTTTGCCGGCCATCTCTTTGCGGAAGTCACCCATGAAGAGCATGAAGGCCGTGCCGGGACGCTTCGGCTTATTCACGTCGCGCGCCGGCTTGAAGATCTCCATCTCTCGCTTGTATCGGTCGCGGTCTCGTTGGGCCGTCTCGGTGAACGGCTTCTTCTCCTCCTCCTGCATGGCGTTCCACTTTCCGGCGCATTCCTTCCCAAAGTCGCCGATCTGTACGTCAAACGCAAACAAAACACAATCAAAATTAATCACAACCTTATTATCGATTCCTGCGGGACATCGAGTTTGCCAGCAATGGGAGAGCGAAAGAGAGGTGGAAAGGGATGTCTGTTTCCAAGGGATAGGGAGAGAGCGAGAGGAGAGTGCGGGAGAGAGCAGTGAACGACTATATATTGTAATAAAATACATCTCATTCTTGGGCTATCAATAAATGTCTGCCATCTGTTGTGGAAATGAGTTTAAAATTAATTGATTGCAAACACAACACAACACAAAGACTTTTGCAGCGAAAATGTTAAGACTATGTCAAAAGCAGTTTTCATTTTTATTTGTTCACTATTTGTTAGATTTAGCGCTCATTTCATTTCTAATGCCATTCTTTCTCTCCGTTCAACAGAATATATAAAAATATTCAACATTTTTATTGCCTTTTATGCCTTCAATTCCTCGACACAAAAATCAATTCACAGCAAAGAATATTATATATAATCTCTATATAGACATAAAAACACACTATATTTTAATTAATGGACAAAATTTAATAACCATTTCATGAGAAAAATTCTTCGAGAAATAGACAAAAAACACGGCAAAGAATATATTTATTTTACATTTTAATTAAAATGTTTGACAAAAATTACCATTCAAAAATTTCTTAATTAAGTTTTAGCATTTAAAATGGATGAGAGAGAGAGAGAGAGAGAGAGAGAGAGAGACCTTTTGCCGGAGAAAAATACACAATAAATGATTAGAAAAATGATTGAATTAGTCGTTAATCTCTATGTCTTTCGTTTTCATCCAATCATTCATCGGAAGAATGAGTCATAAAATTGAGAAAAATATATATATTTGTATAAAAATAAAAAACATCTATAATTATATGAAAATTGGTAATTATTTTCTCTGACAATAATTAAACGAAAAATTATATTTTTCAAATAAAAAATACATTTATATATCAAATATTAATAATTGTTTAAATAAAATGGAGAAATCGGAGGAATATATGAAAAATATTGATAAAATATATTTATTCATATCAAACACAACCATCTTTTTGGGTGAGGAATGGATAAGAGATAGAAAATTATTGCTTAAAGACTTGTGCACTAACTTTAATGAATAACTTCTATATACAGACACCAAAAACATGTATAAAATGGCATATTTTCCTCAATATTTTAAAAAACGCCAAAATATATATAACACATGAAAAATACTATGGATTTATATTGCGTTCAATAGAGGATTAAAATTAATGATTAAAAATTGATAACTTGTACAGTCTCTGGTCTCCTCTCACACTCTCTAATCAATAAAACATTTTTAGGACTTTTTATTAAATTATGAATAAGATGTGGAGGAAAAACAAAAAACTATAGAAAAAATCCAAAATACAATCCAATAAATAAAATAGAAAATTCAAGAGATATTTCATGTTTGAAAAGCGATAAGTCATTGGAAAAAACACAAGTGATATTCCGATTGTGTAAACATAAACACAATTTTTAAAAATGACAAAAACGCCACAAATATTGTAAAATATTATAATATATCGTTATATTATTGAAGCTTTAGTTTTATGTCTTTGAATACATTGTTGGACTCCATTCTCGAGTAATTATTTATCAAACTTATGGTTGTTATAGGGTTTTGGGGAAAAAATCAATTCAATGGGATCGACAACCTATTGCTCTGTCGTCACACAAAACTTCTCAAACATTATTTAACTTAAAATAAAAATATATACTATTTTCCTCTCTCTCTCTCTCTCGTAAAAGAATTACATTTTGTAATTCAAGCGAAAAATCTTATTTACTGATCAATCAAATCAATTATAATAAATATAATTCAATCGATAATAACGTTAAACAGAATCTAGATTTTTATTAAAAAAATTAAATTAAATACAAGAAAATATAGTTTTGTATCGAAAGGAAAATTATTACAAGAATATAAAAATAAACTAAAATTAAGCACAAAATTATCGAAAAATAATCTGTAATACAAATGAGTTGTTTCTCAAACTAAAAACACACAAAGAACTTGTTTTTGGGCTTAAAATTGAAACAAAAATTATAAATATATAAAACTATAAATAAAATAATAAAAATACCATTTTATAAAAAAACTAATTATATCACGAATAAAATGAGAAATGAATTACATTTAGAAAAAATTAATTCTAAAACAATTTCTGTAATCACAAGTAGAAAACCTAATTTCAAAAGCGAAATGAGATTTTAAAAGCTCTTAATTTAAAATTAAAATTTTGTTATAAAATAAGTCCAACAAAAGCGAGGGATAGTGAGAGAGAAGAGAGAGTCGGACCATCCGGACGGGCAAACAGATACAGACAGACAAAGAGCACACAAATACATAATTCAATAGATGTGAGAATAGTTTGTTGAAAATTAAATATAAATGTTGATAACAAATTGTGAGCGCGAGTGCGAGTCCGGCACCGAAACCATATGGAGGGACAGAACAGGCGGTTTGGGAACGGGAGTGAGAGGACAGGGAGAGAGTGGATGAATGAATGCACGTCTGTGTCTACGGCTATACACAATAGACTGTCGACAGTCTATTGTATTTATTATTGATTTTGGAAATTATTGAGTTATATATTAAACAGTATTAGATATTTGGGTTGAGAGCGAAGTGAAGCAAATATAAATCCATTAAACGTCTCACTCTTTTGTCTTAACGATTGCAACGATATTGTCGTTAATAATGAAAAATCTTTAAACGACACGCAATTCTCCATTAGTTTATGGATTTTATATTAAATTTAGATTATATTTTAATTAATAACTAATATATTTTCGCAATTCAATTGCAATTACAATTTGTACGAACGAAACAAAATAGCTATAATTTATTAGCCAAACACTCTCTCAATACAAATAACTGATCGCAAGAGACCGATATTTTATAAATATTTTCTCACAAACACCTAATTAAGTGTTAATGAATGCCAGAATCGGATGTATAATAGAGAGAAAAATACATTAAATTCATTTTAAATATTTGTTTTATAAAACATTTAAACATAAAGACGTTTTCAGACTGAAGGACACGACTAAATGCAATGGAGAGGAAAGTAAAATAAAAAACAGAGACAAAACTAACACTAAAAAACTATTACAATAAAAACACTCCGATAATCATGAAAATATAATACAAATTAAAATACAAACAACAAAAACACTTTTCAATAAAATAAAGCTAAACAATAATAATATTCATAAAACTCTAGTAAAGTCTGCGAATAATATTCTAAATATACGGCGAGAAAAAAAATTTTTCTTCTCGTTTTAAATAATCTTTTGAGTAAAGCATTAATTAATTTCCTTTTTTGCTGTTTTTGTTTCGTATCACAAGAATGTTAACGATCCAAACGAGTCCTTTCCTCAGGGAAAATCACTATCGTTTAGAGGTTGAGCTCTCTCTCTCTCTACCACACACTCACTCTATACGTCTCGCACTCTCCCTCTCTCTCTCTCTCCTCAAAACCAAACGCCAATAATTGTTGTAAAAAATAAAGAAAACTATTAAACATTAAAAAGCGTTTAAAAATGACAATAAAATTCATATCTTTTTTATATAAAATAGTTTTTCTGAACAAAAAACGCATCAAAAAAACTCATATCCAGTGAAACACAAGAGAGTGACACAAGAAAAAAGCAAAACTCCACAACAGAAACGCCAAACAATTATATTCAATGTCTTTAGACATAATTTAATAATAATTTGCGACAAATTAAAAGCGTATTTAAAGCGAAACAAAAACTAATAAAAATAGCAATTTCTCCGCTTATGTATTGTGAATACAAACATAAAATTGCACACAATATTTGAGCGCAATATTCAGTGTAAATAAATGCGAATATAAATTATAATAAAACAAATCACAAGAAAATCTTATTTCGACAAAAAAAAATGAATAAAAGATAAAAATAGATTTACGTATAAAATCGATGATAAGGTTAAGCGCTTTTGTGTTGTTCAGCAGAAAAGGCTTTTAAAAAATTTATATAAAAACCGTATTTTTCGACAATAAGTCAAGTGATTTGAGTTTTTAAAAAATATAACTATTTAGTAAATTATTGCACAAATAAAATGAACGCATTTTTGCCGACAAAATAGATATCCAGAGAAACTTATTACGAGAGAAATCGACATTAATTATGAGATAAATTATATTTCAAAATATAAAAGTCCAACAATTTTCTAATTTGATAAATGATTGATTTCGATAATCAAATAATGAGACAACAAATACAAAGTATTTCATTATAAAAGGAAATAGTATTATAAAAACCAAATACTAATCAATTAGGCGCTCAAATAAGTCCCCAAAAAGTAGTTTATAATTAATCAATAACTAAACCATTTTGATTGACGAAAACATTTCACATAAAACTCATTCCCTTAACGAGAATTAAACTCCAAAACTAATTAAATATTAAATCAATAAAATAAATAATTTATAAAATTAAAACCGATATTAAAAATATAAGTAACAGAACAGCGATAATGAAGAATACGATTACTTTGCAAGTCTTAGCGAAAAACAAGTAAAAACTTAATTAAAATTAAACACAAAAATCTTAACGCAAACGAAATAAAAAACAAATTAAATCAAAAATATATATAAGTCTCGACACAAAACCAAATTAAATTTATTTGAATGAATGAATTGAAATAAAATGAATCAATGAATGCATTAATAATGAATATTTCATTGATTTTTGAGCCGAGAATATCCGCTATATTTTCAGGTAAAACAAGAAAATATATAATAATTTCTCGTCCATAAAGTGGTCGTCGTTTTAGCTAAAAGTTTTAGGTATAGTTTGAATGAATGGATGGATTGAGAGATGTATTGACTCGAGTTAAGGAAAATAAAATATAAGATAAAGAGCTAAACATTTTAATGGCTTCACTCATAACTATGTGACTGACCTTTCATTTTATCTTTGTTTAGAAATTGATCATAACTTATGTTAAATACCATTAAAAATATAATTAACAAAAATACAAAACGAAAGCAAAAGAGAATTGAAATTTCGATATAGAAATTCACATTTGAAAAAAAAGAAAAACTCAAATATAATAAAATTTCTGACAATAAATAAAATTAAATTTTATATCAAATGTTAAGAATTGAAAGTAAAATTCGCTAACATTTTATTAATATATAAATTGAATTCTCTGTTGAGTTATATTTAATATAAACTCAGCAATGATTTAAAATATCGATTCAAAATAGTTTTATTCAAAGAGAAAAAACATCTAAAAATCAATTCTCGCTATAATTTTCATTAGTTATATAAAAGCCGTAAATAAATGAAATAATTTGTAACCAAAAGAGTTCTCAGAAGAGCGACAAAAAAGAGTGAAAACGAGGAATAATTGAAACTAAAAACACTTTTTTCCCAAACTGTTAAAAATGGAGATTTAAAAAGCAATTAAACATAATTTTATTGGTTGTTAAGACTTTTCTCAGCATTTTATCTAAAAAATTTAAAGTGATATAAAAATACATATAAAAAATAAAACCAACAAAAATCGTGAGCTTTTACTGAAAGGCAAAAATACAACTCAAGACAAGAAAATTGGACCAAAAAAGACGACACAATATAATAATTAATTAGTGAAAGAAAAGACTATAAAATACAGATTTATGAAAACATATAATAACTTATATTTTGCATAATAATAATAAAATGTTGAGATCTATTAGATATACGTAATCTCGTCGACAGTGACAACAAAAATCTCTATATTTCGGTCGTCTCTCTCTCCCCCTCTCTGTACTGCACTGGAAATGCAGTTATTTTGAAATTACTTTATTATTGATCGGACTTTGAATGAATGACTTTCAAAAATCAATCAGAAAAGGAGATGAGTTTTAGGAGAGGGATAGGGGAGGGAAAGAGAGGAGACATCGCTTCCACTCATTGCACTTCCACTTCTTGAGCGCTCGCAATGTATATTCGGTGCGAATCCTATGTATTGCCAGAAAACGCCAAAATATTTAACAATCCATTTAAGAGATATTTTTTCAAATAAGAGTCACAACTCTTTCGCCCATTTATTTCTTATTGCAATTTAAAGCGAAAACAAATATTTATTATTCGCGACGAGAATATAAGATAACATTACAAAAAACTCAACAAAAATATTATTTTATTAAATTTTAATTATAATTTGTTGGTCGGGACACAAAACCCATGTTTTTAATTTTAATCAACAGATATTCCGCGCAATAAATATATGAAAGGATTTACGATCTCTTGAATAGCGAGCGACGCCTTAATAATGAATAAAAACTTTTTACTCGTTTTATTATTTTCTCGACTTTTCTTAATTCAAGAGAAATTCACACAAAGAATAAGAAAATCGATTTTGATTTTAACGAAAGGATGAAAACACGCTTTCAAATCGCGAAACGATACATAAATTTTAAATTATATTTAAATAATTCCCTTTAAAATCATTATTCAATTCTCTCTCTCTCTCTCTCTCTCTGTGAGTGAGAGAAATAACATTTTGAGGCAAAAAATGAAAACTTAATCTTCAAAACCCATAAAATTAATTCAATAATTCGAATAATTTCAATACACTTAAGGCTTAAATAAATAAATAGAAAAATAATAATAAATAGAAATAAAAATAATGACTTAATGTTAAAAAGCGATACTAACGACACGATTATCACTATTTTGATAATATTTAGTCTAATTTCGGGGAATAAGTTGTCGGGAAATAAAATGTGATAACAAATGAGACAAACAATAAATAGATTGAAAGCGACGCTAAAGAGATTGCAGTTATTTATAATAAAAACAGGCATTTAATGCCATAATTCATGTCTAAATAACTATTGTATGTATTATTTCGCTGCTATTATTGCATTGAAAAGACAATTATATATGAATCGCATCTCAAGGCATAAAAATGTGGCAAAAAATGAGGAAAAAGACAAAAATAAAAGAAAAAGTGAGGCAAAGGTTATGGGAGATTGAAAACCAGAAAAAAGTTTTGAATGAATTGCGAAAAGCGAGAGAAAGAAAAACGAGAGTTATATTTCTCACACAAACCACTCTTTCGCTCTTCAAAACCAAAACTAATTTACGGCTCAAAGGAGTGAAACACAAGAGGAAAAAAGCCTTCGGAGAGAAAGGGATGCCTTACCTTAGGTATGGGTCGTCCGGCCTTTTTTAACTCTTCTCTATACCATTGCGTGAAATTGATGTAAGCAGTGGTGGCCCTCTTCGGTGCCGGCACTCCATCCTTATTCACTTTGGGCTTCTTCTGCTTCTTGTGACTGCCGTGACCTCTGGCCGGAGGAGTGGCGACAGCGCCGCCACCGCCACCCGTGTTGGCCGTCTGCACGTTGGCGTACATCACGTGATGGCCTCCGTGTCCGGTCAGGTGGTGTTGACCCGTGTTATTGTTCGTCAGTCCGCCGGACATTACCTGAAGTCCACAACAATTAAATTTAATACACATTTCATGGATTCAAATGATTACTGCTATTGTTTTTGAAGGCAAACATCGTATTAAAGCATTAAAAATAATGCAAAAAACAACAAAAATAAAAACTAATGTTAAAATCAATAACAAACGAAACATAAAACGATTTCAATAGCAATTCATTTAGACGTCTCTCTCCTGTGTTTTATTTCGGCTCTCAATGCAATCGCAACCGAATTAATGGGTTTTGTGTTTATTATTTATTTATAAACTAATATTTTTAAATCAATAAATAACTTTAAATATATATTTCTCTCGCATTACAACTAAACTAAAGGCACGACTAATAACTGCTATCAACTGACAGACTGTCCAAAGGATAAACCATTATATGAATGACAATCAATCGGTGATATCTGTGAGCGCGTGAAAGATAGCGGGAATCAAGAGGTTGTGGTCAACTCAGCCATTGAGAGGGAGCGGGAGAAAGACGCCCAAACGATAAGACTGTGGTCAGGAGGAGACTGAGTCTTATTGCTTACATGAACCGTATTTTGGTTCATAAGGGGAGCACTGACTGTGAGATTGAGTCCGGACGACAACATCTGCTGCATCTGGAGCTGACCGATGGTCGGGTGAAGTTGATTACTGTTGGCCAATGAGGCCGCGTGTTGTGCCATCGCCTGGTGATAGTCGGCATATTCTGCTTCATAAATGACAACAATATGAGCACACATTGCTCACAGTTAGTAACAACTCAATCAAAGTCAGCATCATTTTAATCATGCAAATTGTATCATTACATGTATTCATATAACTCATTGCAATCAACGGCTATTAATTAGCCAAATATTAATTCTGCATTCAATTAGTGATCAACTTTTTTGGGCACCAAAAAGAGCGCTAAAAACACACACCAGTCGTAAAAACAACTAATAATAATAAAACAAAAATAATATAAAAATAAAATCCAGACACTAATAGCAGAGAGACATCGGGTCTCCATTGACTACATGCCCACCCCTTCCCCCCATTACCTGCCAGAGCGCTATAAAACCTCTTTATAGTGAACAATAAAAGCTAACTTCAAATCTCCAATTAACCAAAAATAATAATACTGTGTACACTATATAACAATGTTAACCATTGTATATAATGAACAGATTGTATGTCCTTGAACAATTGCGTTTGTGAATTAACAAAAAAAATTGTGACGGATTTCCTATAGTTATAGCACTCAACAAACACACAGCCCGTCCACTGTTGGCAACCCCTCTATAATCAACTTTTGGCTATTGTTTTAAGAAAACTTCGCTCACTATTCACTATATAGGAGTCGAGTGTTATATAATTAATATATGGCTAACGATAGGAAAATGCTTCAAATGCTGTACTTTTCATTTTGGATCACATTTTTCGCACCCAAAATGTACTCAACATTTGGTTATGTCTCTAGAAATGCATTGGGTTTTGAGGTTTAGGTGCTTTTGGGGCAAAACATACACAAAATCACTGCCACTTTCTCTCTCTATCAATGTGTTTATCCCATAGACAATTTAATAATTGACGCCTAAAAACAAGTGTTTGATTAAAACAATAGCCTCTCCTTTACTTCAATTCAAACAATACAATACAAGTTATATCATATTTTGTCATTCAGTCTACGGCCTAACACAACGGCTCACGTAAAGCCTATTAATACAAATGCATACAAATTAATACTGATATGTAAATTGAAATCACAATCAAAACTACAAACACTACATAAAAAAAGAGCAAAAACTAAACTAAAACTTCTCGTAAAACAACAAAAAATTTAAGCGCTTTTTCTCTCCCATAATAAACTTATGGCTCAAACAGTGTGTCCATAGGATTGACATGACATGTAAAATATACGGTGTTTTTGTTATGCCTATCGCTATATACATGTGTGGATGTGTTGTGAGAGTGAGTTTGTGTGACAATTAATAAACAGATAATCGCTTTTATTGGTAATAGTATTGTAGAGATAGTGTGTGAGAGTGAGTGAGAGAGACTGTATGTAATGTATTGAATGCATAGTGAAAGTGGAGTCCATATCTAAATTGGTGCTGAAATGTTGGGCTAATACTGGGCTAACGTTTGGTCCCATTTATGACTCGAGCGCTCGCATTGAATGCATTGCAATACTAGATAGCAGTACACAGTATTCGCTATACAATTGGTACCAGAATTACTGTGCGGAGAGCGGTATAGGGAGAGCGCTGGGAGAGGGAGTGAGAGTGTATGCCTCCCCCTAACCGCCGCACACACTCTCGCACTCTCTCTCCCAAAAAGCACTGCTATAACAAAGCGGGGAGTCGTTTGGCCAAAGCGAGCACAGCATTGAGCTGTGGACCCAACAGCCAATCGTGGCGCGCCTTACACACAGCGCTAGCATAGTGCGGGCCAATGGCGTGGCTCCATAGTAGGCAAGGCTCGCACATTCAACTTACGCTTACCCATAGTAAAGTGTGTGTTGTGGTGAAGTGTGTGCTTTAGGGGCTATATATAGTGTGTGGATGTAATGCACACACACTGTGTATAGCGTTGTCGGACCGACCGCTGTATGGGTTGAGTGCCGACGAGTGCGGGGATCGCGATGTCCGGTGCCGTACGGGTCGTGTCAGTTGGCGCTGTCGGTGGCCAACGCTTTTTGGCGCCCACTCTATGCCGGTATACAAACACGAGACGAACTACTCGTGTATTGGAAACAAAAACACAAACACTTTTGCAAAAATCACTTTTATATATGAAATACTCGTATGTTTTGGTGTTTAGAAAAATCGAGCGCTCGTTGAATAGCGCGGCGCCAATCAAATGCCTAATACTCTATACACTATACACAGTATAAGGCTATACAACAGGCAATGCTTTAGCAATACTGGCAGTACTTCTATCAGTAATATTTATCAGTAGTAGTAATAGAGAGAGCAGTACAGCGAATGCTACGGCTTTACCAATGCTTGCGCTACAATACACTGCTTTACTCTACAGCACCACTACAGCACTCACACACTGCCAATGCTTACACACACACACTCTGTATGTGCGCACAGCGCCGGCGCAGTGCCATCCGTTCGCAAACAATGTTACGAATATAACGTGTCAACAATATATGTTGGGAGAGAGAGCGCGCGCAACACCCAAACCACTCGTACCCTCTATATAGTGAACCATTTAGAAAATGCTTAGAAAATGTGCACGTTTTCCATCCCGTATAGTGTACGTGCATTGAGCTAGATTATTTAAATGATTTTTAAAGCGCTTTCCCATATGTTTTTCGTACAATATTTAACTTGTATGCGGGGGTGAGAGTTGTGAGGCTATAGTGTACTGTAGGCGTGATTTAATTATTTTTCAAAACTATGGATTAATTAATCGATAATTATTTTTTTCAATATAAAATTTTTCGTACATTTTCTTTGTTTCGTCAAAGTATATATATTTTGCCCCCCATTTGCGTTCAGTGCCAGTGATGTTACCCATTGGCCCATTACGTGCGCGCGCGTGTGTTTTATCATCGCTGTTTTAACTTTAATATTTCAGCTGCCTCACTTTAATCCACACACATGCCAGCTATCATTTATATTAATTCAAATCTAGTTATCTATGGATTAATCTCTTTCTAAAGTATTTTTGTTTGTTTTTTGAGTTTAATTTTTTTCCCTTTAATTTTGTTCAATATTTGTTGGCAACGAATAGAGCGCTGCGAACGTATTGAATGGTCGCTATGCGGGCGCACCAGTCCTATAGGCATACATACACTACACTACAGCCAAACCCTATTTATAGCGCATAACGTATTATTAAAAGCAATTGAACGGAAATGTATGGCCAGAGACGACGTTATCGGAGACCAGGCATCGGATGTCAAGCCATATAAATAGCAATTCGCGCTCAAAACGATTGAATTGTCGCCACTTTTTCCCTCTATTTAATTCAATATCGCATTCAATACATACATAACCCGCGAGTGATGTATGAAAATCGTTAAAATCGCAACACATTTGCCTTTAATTGTGTATTTGATAGCGAATCGGGGGCTAAATGTTTGCGCATTTGGCGTCACGTCGTCAGCGAATTCGTGGGAAGTATTTTAATTGGAAAAATCTGTTGGATTTCAATGGGAGTGAAACAGAGGGGGAGAGAGAAAGGGAGAGATTGTGGCGCACGTTGTTTATGGCGGCGACTGAACGCAACTCTCAATACCGGCCGCTCATTGGCCGACAGCCTATTCGTGACATCACTTGTCTCTCTCTCTCTCCTCAGTCTCTAAGGGGTCTCACAAATGGTTTCGCGAAAATCGAGACGTTTTTTACGAGTATTACTGAAACGGAAAACGCGTTGAATATTGAATGCTTAAAGTGTCGCCATTTATGGACATTATATTGCACTCACTTTTATGACAACAAATGTATTGCGAAATGCAATTGACATTTAAATTTTAAATGACAAACTTTTGTTTCTTTTAATTTTGTATATTATTTGTTGTTTTATGTTTTTTGTTAATTAAATTGCATTTAAAAGCAATTAATAGTCTGTCAAACAAATCGTGTGATAAGTTTTGCGGCCAAACATGAGTTTTGAGTGAATTTTCAATTAACTCAACAAAAAATGACTCAAAATAAAGACAAAAAAGTTTTTAATTTGATTTTGTTATCAAAATATTTGTTTTAAATAAGCGTTTGATTTCCCAATCGATTGATTGATTTGAATAATGGTTTCATATTTTGATTCAGTTTTAAAGGGATTGAAAGACAACAACAAATAAAAGTGCATTTCTTTGGGGAAATAAGTGATGTTTTTGTTGTTATTTTGTTTTATAATGCAATAAATGCTGACAAAAAACGAGGCAATGATTTATGAAATGTCTTGACTATTGAATCCAAAGCTAAGCATTAAATTTATATTTCAGTCTTTTCTTTCGCTTTAATTTAAATGTGAATTTGAATTACAATTTAAGAAATACTTTTTGTTTTAGTTATAAACTGTTTGTTTGTTTTGTTGGAGTAAATCATTATTTCACATGATTTTAGAGTTTTTGCTCATAATTTTGTTAATCATTTTTTTAGATTTACTTTTTTAAAACAAAATACAAATATTTTTCGGGTTATTTTGTGATTGAATTTGTTGTTTCTTAAAAATGCACTTTTTATTGTTATTTTGCATACAATTTATGCAATCAATTGATTGATGTCTTTATAGTTTTTTGTATTCATTCACTCTTTAAGTATTAACTCTTTTTCAATGAAAATTATAATAACTTTTTTTTAAAATATTTATTATTCACTCAAATAGTTGTCTGATTTTTAATTATAATTTAGAGATTTTTATCTAACGATTAAATATTTTGTATAATTTTTAATCTCAAATCAAATGTGGTTTTGATTATTAAAGAGAGAAATATTTTTTATAAACATTTTTTAAATACTTAAATTACATACGATTTATCACTGAATGTCAATCAATGGCTTTACAAAGAGATAGATTGACACTAAATACTGAGTTAAGGCATCTGTCGATCAAAGATCGGATCCAATTGTCGACAATCCTAGACATTGACCACAATTGGAAACTATTGGCGGCTATTATACCGAAACCGGACGGAATGGACGGCTCTTTGATCACAAGTTCTAACGTTAAAGTATTAGAGGATTTGCTCAAAATAGGCAAAAGTCCGACTCAAGCCTTACTTGACTTTTGGGTATTGATTGAAATGCACTTTCATTTATATTTATTTAACCAAAAAAACTCACAAAATAATTCTCAATGGGTTTTCTAATTGAATCAAATTGTGTGACACTTTAGGGAACGAGTGGTAGAAAACGGGCCACAATTGAAGACTTTATAAAACTATTAAATTCTTGTCGACTATACAGAGCCTCACTATTCCTATGCAACGATATCCTTAAACTCGAATCGTTTGATCACTTGATTGATATCAATTGCAGTGACAGTTATTTGGACACCGAATCCATTAATAAAATGACAAACAATTTGAATCTCAATACTAAAGGCAACACTAGTTTTGGTGACGATAAGAGTTTTGCAGGCAAAGGGTTCAGTGAATTATCAACAAATCTGTGTCACCAACCGATGGATAAGATGGACGCAAAGAATTGTTTCTTAGATCCGTCGGCGCCCAACGAGTCTCTCATTAGTTTTAGTACTTTAGAGGATAATAACGCACAGAATATAGTCAATGAAAATATAATGCAATACTCTTATGAAGAGATCCGTCGCGCGACCAATGATTTTGCTGACCATAAGTTAGGCGAAGGAGCCTTTGGGGCCGTATATCGGTGTCGACTCCGACGGGACTCGGATTTCATTGCTGTCAAGCGATTGAAAAGTGATTTTCAAAAGCAATTCCTCTCCGAACTCAAAGTGATGACTAAATTCTCACATAAAAACTTGTTATCAATTTGTGGCATATCTTGTGATGGGCCGTCGCTTCTCATAATTTACCACTATATGTCCAACGGATCTCTTCAGGAATGTCTAGAAAAACGGCCGCAATGTCTCAGTTGGAGTCAAAGGCTGGCCATCGCATTGGGAACCGCTAGAGGTATCTGCCATTTGCATACATTTGATGCCAAGCCATACGTTCATCGAGACATCAAAAGTGCAAATATATTACTCGACAACGATTTGAACGCACGGGTCGGCGATTTTGGATTAGTACGGGTCGGCAGCGGCGCTGACAATACGTCTACTAAACCGTTGGCCACTACTATAATCGGGACGACTATTTATATGGCACCGGAAGCCTATCGCGGAGACATAAGCGTAAAACTGGATTCATTTAGTTTTGGTATAGTTTTGCTGGAATTGGTGTCGGGTCTGAAGCCGTACGACGAGAGCCGCGAAGGCTTTGATCTGCTCTCGTATGTCGAGGAAAGAGTGGCCGACTTAGACGAAGAGGACGAGCGCTCAATTGTCCGCACGATTGGCGACCAATCGATCGGACCGTTGGACGAGAGAATAGCCGCCGAATTGTATCGAAATTCGCGCAAATGTGTGGAACAGCGCAAGAAATACAGGCCCGCAATGACAGAGGTATTTGTTTGTCGTGTTTTTTACTTATTATTAATTTTTAATCTCGATTTCCGATCGGAGAGCGAGAAAAAGTAGTTTATAATTTTGTTTTGCATTTTTTACGTTTAAAAAATAATTGATTTATGTTTTATTTTGAAATTTTTTTGTACCATTTTTTCCTCTCCCTCTCCTCTGCCCTATCCTTATCTCGCAATTCCTCTCCCCGTCTCTGCCCTTAAACAACAGGTTTTGCAGTCTTTGGAGTGTTTGGAAAGAAATTGAGTTCACATTTGATTTTTTACGAGAGAAAAAAATAATTACATATATTTTTTGGCGTTAAATATGTGTATGTTTTTTGTTAATAAACTTCTCTCTCGTCTCTCCGTAACTGGTTTTTTATGTCATAATTATTATTGTATTGCATATTATTATTACATGTATTTTTTTCGTTACAAATATTTTTACCAATTTTATACTTAATTTTTTTTAAATACAATTTTTTCCATATTATTATAATTAAGATTTTAACTAATGATAAAACTATTGTTATTTTATTTTATTATTAATTAAATACAAAATCATAGAAATAATGTATTTATTTTTTTGGTACAAAATATTAAAATCAATGCAAAAATTGATAAAACGATAACATTTTATATTATTTTGAAAAATCAATTATAAGACACTATATTTAAGGAGCACTTGTGGTGGCGTTGGCTCTGACCTGTTCGATGATATCAATGCTCTCATCCCTGCAATAAATTAAAGCAATAAAAAATCAATATTTTTTATATTAAATTGTAATTCAAGTCTTTTCTTGTTTATCGAGAGATTTGTTTTTCCTATTTATTTAAATTAAACGTTTTTATTGCTCATCGAGAATAAAAAAAAGCCCTGTTTTTCATCTCGATTTGACATTAAGTTTGTTTTTGTGGCCATAAATGAGAGCTTCTTTTCCCCACTTCTTTGCCATCGAAATGAAACACAAAAATTATCGATAACTAGATTTCCATGACTTGCGGTTCAATACTTGTGTGCGTGAAATACCATTGAAATTCTCAATCAAAGAGAAACAACAGTCAAAACAATCCCTAAAAATCGATTTGAATGTCATTTTTCAAGTTCGGCCTATTGTTCGGCCCCCACCTTCTCCTACACCCAAGTATATTAGCTCTCCCTCTTCCTCCCCTTCAGCTCTCTCTCTCTCTCCCGACGACGACGACTAGTTTGTATGCCTTTTCCACTCAAGCAGTTGTAAAAGGCAAATGTGTTGCGATTTTAACGATTTTCATACATCACTCGCGGGTTATGTATGTATTGAATGCGATATTGAATTAAATAGAGGGAAAAAGTGGCGACAATTCAATCGTTTTGAGCGCTCTCTCTCTCTCTCTCTCTCTCTCTCTCTCTCTCTCCAATTCGGTGAATAATAATCCCTGAATCCGATAAGCCTTAGATCCTATTTATTATATTTTTAATACCAATGTATCTAAAAAATTAATGTTTCATAAAAAGGATAAATGCATTGTTTGAGTGGGATTTCTGAAAGGTTTGATTCTTTTCGATTGTTTTGAATTTTTCTCATTCAATGTTTCACTCAAAATGAGTTACAAAATATTTCTATTGAATTGAGAAAAAATTATTACTTAAAAGTTAAAAGAAATTCTCCCAAAAAACTAATGAAATTTCGAAATTAAAAAAATTTAACGATTGATTTATACGTTTGTCACACAAAACAGGGGTTTTAATTACTTTTTTTAATACTCGTGATTAAAATTATTGCCATTATTTAAATAGGAATAAAAATATTATTATCAGAGAAATAATGGAGAGATTAATGATTGAGATTAAGCTTTTCGGAGCGCAACATAAGGGACATAAATATTAGAGATAAGTAAGGCTTAAGGATTAGATACATACAGACAGCACTTGCTGTGTATCAAACAGCACATTGTATTGCGTCCGGAGTAAGTGTCCACTCCATCACAGATATTACAAACCGTTGAATTACCCGTCCATACGATGAACGCGTCCGTCATTTGCAACGATTGCAACAAAATTATTGATACGAATACCAGTAAAACACTCGATATCAACAATTTATTCATGTTTTTTATTATTATTTAATCGCTTGACTTTTGATAAGCAATAGTTATGTTTAAATCATTAGTTAATTGACAAAACAAATGTATTTTCCAAAATTTTCAAATGCTTTACACATTCACTGATCTCTAATCGAAATAATGAGATGAAATGTTTCTCACCTTAAACTCTGGTTTTTATTAAGTGTTGATTAAAAATAGATTTTTTCTATTAAAAATGCATCTCTCTCTCTCTCTCTCTCTCTCTCTCTCTCTCGGTTTTTATTATAATATAATATTATTATAGTTTTGCGAAGAGATGTAAATAATATCCATATTGTGGTTGAGATATACTGGGAATGCAAGTCATGATGAATACCACAATACTGTATGAGTTATAAATATTTTTTTGGTAAATATTTTATAGCCCTTTGTTTTATGATATCATATATGAAATTCAGTGCATATGTGGTTCAGTCCAGACAACGGTCACAAACTAATTAAGTTAAAAATCACACGCAATTACACTGTTAGTACACTAACCATATATTACAGTGACTCTCTCATTCCCAGCAAATTCTTGCTTTAGCTAATTTTGGAGGACCGGCTCCTCAACTATTTTTTGGACTCCAAGAACAGGATCTCCACAAACACTCAATTGCCTCATGTCTTAAAATCTCATTTTTTTCTTTCTGTGTAAAGTAATTGATGTCATAAAATATTATTTAATAAGCATTTTGTGTATAAGTGGTGTCCGAAATCTAATGGCACTCAAACCCCATATAAAATCCTGTATTCAATTCACTCGTGCACTACATTTTTGGGCACAAATTTGATCCATATTTTTCTGATTCTCGACAGTAATGACCTTTTTTAAGAATTTTGAAATACTTTTCGTCAAAAGTTTTATAAATAAATGTGTGTTTCGCCTGTTTTTGGACAAAATTAAAGCAAATTCCGATCAAAATATCACTAAAAATAGATTTTAATTTATTTACGATCTGAGGGTCATAGAGGAAGAGAAGAGTTGTGTTTGCGTTCAGAGTATTGTTGACTCTCTTTATAATTGTTATAAACCTTTTGATTAGTGCACAGAATATATACCTCTTAAGTGTAGATATAAAGGAAATTATTGTTTTATTGCTTACTATTTATAAATTGCTATCAATTCTTGCAAATTCATAATTACGCGACTTAACGATATATTTCACATACATTTCCCAATAGCGCACAAAAACTCGTTATAGTGAACACATTTCGTGGACACATTTCCTACACTTCCCTCAATGGCAATGCATTAATATATCGCAAAACAGTATGGGTTTTGACAGATATTTCTGTGAGAAAATCTATTCCTGTATTGAGAATGAATAGCAAATTATTTATCATTCAATAATACAATACAAACATAATATAAATTTTGAAATATATTTCATTCATTTTTCTTTATTAGCCGTTGTATTGGAAGGACTCATAAATTATGGCATAAGTGATAAAAAATAAATATAAAAAACAGATTTAAAAAGAGAAAGAGAGAGAGAGAGAGAGAGAGAGAGAGAAATAAAACAATTTAATTGCTCGACATTTTTACAACAATTCGCTGTTATGTAAAGACAATCGCATATAAATAATAATAGGAGTTATGATTATATTTCTGGGTATTTAAAGAGCGAAGAAAAAATGTTTTTACGCAAAAAATAATTGCTTTGAATTGCAGTCTAATTAAAGGCAGAGTTAAAAGCAGAAAAAAAATGCAACACAACAACTGCTTGAGTGGAAAAGGCATACAAACTAGTCGTCGTCGTCGGGAGAGAGGGAGAGAGAGAGAGAGAGAGAGAGGTGGTCAACGAACTGACTTATACACTGCCGTACGAAATGCCTTTAAAAACTATAAATACTAATCATAAGTTGTCAGTAAATAATAGATATTAAACAAAAAAAAATTTAACACTTTTCTATGCTATTAAAAACAATTAATTTGTTTGTTTTTGGGTTTTTGAATGCAATTTTCTCATTGTATGTAAGAAAACAATAAATATATGTATAATTTTGGGAAATAAATATAAAAAACACATAAATAAATCGATTATAAAACAAACACTAAAACAACAGAAATATTAATTTGTGTTGTTTTCTGTGACGGGATTTTTACGTGAGTTTGCAATACAAACACGATTTTATAGAAACAAAATATGATTTATTCATTGCATTAGTTTTCTCGGGAAAAGCGATGGATAATAATTATGCATTCGTTACACACTTATAGTCCATTTAAATGGCTTTTATTTTTGCTTAGTTTGAGTGTAAATTTTGCTCTTACTTTAAAACACATCAGATATTATATATTTATCAAATATTCTCGACTAGTGTTCGGGTAATAAAAAACAAATCGCTTCTCAATTGAATTATCAAAAAAGAAAACTAAAAACTAAAATAAAGACAACAAACAAACAAAAAACAACACAAAAATAATACCTTTCAAAACAGACAAAAAAATTATTTTAATCATTGCCTAAAAATATACTAAAAACTAGATAACAATTGATTGAGTTATTTATTAATTAATAATTATTCATAACATTAATATTCAACACTATATTCAAAAATTGATGGCTTTGCCGAAGAAGGCCGACAGATTCGCTTCTCTAAACGCCTCGGAAACGGTCTACGATTATACAGAAAAAACAATTTTCATTAAATATCATTAAAACGTATCAAAAAACATCAAAAATAGATTTAAAGACTAATCGAAATTTAATGACAGCAGAAGAGAGGCAACAAAAACCACATAAAAAACTAAAAAACAAATATACGCTAAAAGTCGTTAAACGCAACGACAAGTGGCCAAAAGACCACCGATAGAGTGGCAACACTTACGGGATGCGCGTGACAGACACGGGCCACGTCCTCGCAAGAGGCCCCGTACTCCATGGCCAGCGTCGCCTCATTGATCAGTTCGCCCGCAACCTAAACATTCAGAGCGGAAAATGTGAGTTCAAATTAATTATCGCTCTTTCACTCGTGTTTTGTTTGAAAAAGTTTCTGATTATCAATGAGTTAATCAACGAAATAAAACAAAACTCATGTAATTTTTGTATTGCAAAAAAATTACACATAATGTCATTAAATGATAGTAAAAAGCAATTGTTATACTCCGGCAATCATGTGAACGCCTAGTATCCGATCCGTCTTCTTATCGGCGATGATCTTCACTAGTCCTTCCGTCTCATTGTTAGTCTTGGCCCGACTGTTGGCCATTAGCGGGAATTTCCCGATTTTGTATTCAACGTTCTGTAAGTATGTGTTGTTGTCATACAAATAATGTAATGTTAATTCTATGCATAATTTATAAATCAATTACCATCTCTTATAAGGCTATCATTCAATTCTAAAGTTTTTAAATTTTTGATTTTGTGCCGTAAACTCATGTCTCAAATTTAATTTGATTTATAATTAGATAATATATTGATTAAAAAACACGAATCCAAAAACCAAATGGTAATAAATACTTGACATTTCGTTTGTAAAACTCAAAATTTATATATAAATCTTTATTTAATTACGATATAAATCTAATTATTATTATAAATTATTTATATTATGACATATCGCTAATGCAAAACTCGACTTCAATTGAGATAATATTTGAAAATGCATTTCAAAACAAGTTATCAATCAAAACGAAAATATACCCCAAAAAACGTCACTAAACTTTTAAAATGTTTTAAATGAATGCGTTAACTATTAGCTCGTTTCGGGGCTAATAAGCGATTATAATATTACATTTTTATATACATATTCATTGTTTAATTACTCAATAATCAATAACTCTATATATTAATTATCAAATTTAATAAACGAGTCATTTATACCTTTAAATTGTTGCTAACACTAACACTACGTGTGATATATTGAACATAACATACCTGAGCCTTGAGGTCCTCTTCAGACTTGCCAACCCATGCGACCTCTGGATGAGTGTATATGACAGATGGCACACAGTTATAGTCGATATGCACGGGTCCGCCAGCGATTCCTTCCACGCATATAATACCCTCGTCCTCAGCCTTATGGGCTAACATCGGGCCCGGAATACAGTCTCCGATTGCAAATATACTGCAAATAATTGCATATTTCAGTAAACGTTATATTTTAAAATTTAAATTGAATAAAATATTCAAATACTTGGGAACATTGGTCTGAAATCTAGAGTTAGTCTTAATCCTATTCCTCTCATCTTTTTGAATACCGAGTTCTTCTAAACCAAGATTTTCAGTGTATGGACGCCGACCCACACATACCAACAGTACATCGCATTCCAGCTGTTAATTCATTAAATACACTATTTGTTAAACAAAATCACAATAAAAGCTATACCATTAACTCACAGTCTCCTGTCCGCCACCTTTGGCCGACTCGATCGACACCTGAACACTGCCGCCCTGTTTCACGGCTGCCGTCACTTTAGTATTCAATTTGAATTTTAATCCTTGTTTTGTAAGAATTTTCTGGAAACTCTTCGAGATTTCGGCATCAATTCCAAGCCCTCCGATATGTCCTAAGAACTCAACGGCAGTCACTTCAGAGCCCAATCGCGACCAAACAGAGCCCAACTCGAGTCCGATAACACCGGCGCCAATGACTACCATTCTTTGCGGTACTTTATCTAATGATAGGACACCCGTTGACGACACTATTGTTTTCTCGTCAATCTTTGGCACATTTTAAATAAAATTTAATTTATTGAACAATAAATGAAAAGCAATAAATAAATCAATACTTCAATGCCGGCAAATGGTGTCACTTCAGAACCGGTAGCTATTAATATATTCTTTGCCTTAACCACTTCTGTCGAGTTATCCTCTTTAATAGCAGTCACTTCATTGGGTCCCGTGATCTTCGCGTGGCCTCTAATATGCGTTATCTATTGGTTTAAACGCAAAAAATGAAATTTTAAAACTCAATAAACTTTAAGTAAAAACCAATTCATACTTTATTTTTCTTAAACAACTGTGCGATACCACCGGTCAGTGCTTTAACCGCCGTTCGCTTTTGTTCCATAAGAGTATCCAAATTGAGCCGAAGATTATCAACTAAACCGCAAAAATTCATTAATTATTACTTCAAGTAATTAAACATTTAAAATAGAAATTTAATTTCACTCATAATAATGGACACAACTATTAGACTAATCAAAGCCAAACCAATTACAAGACAATGTCTTTGTATATAAAATATCATATTATGAGTCCATTATTATAAGCGAAGAATGACTGTCGAAGAATAACATGCCATACATTCAATGCCTCGGCTCTTCAGATCATTACTGTGGGCCATATGATAGAGATGTGAGTTATGTAACAACGCTTTCGATGGTATGCACCCGACGTTCAGACACGTGCCGCCCAGTGTCTCGCCCTTCTCCACACACACCGTCTGTACACATAGACCAGTCATTTAACACATTATCACTCAACTGATCCATTGTAACGGCAAAACCATTGCTACAACAATACTGACCTTCATTCCCAATTGAGAGGCTTTGATGGCCGCTACGTAACCTCCGGGTCCGGCGCCGATCACCACCAGATCTGCTTCGGCTAATCATTCAAATAGATATACATTCAAAAGTCTTAATAATATAAATGTCTGTTAATTATCATTAAATTAATGCAAACCATTATCGGATGAATAGTGTCTTCGGGTGAATGCGTGCAGACATCCGGACGCTTGCGGTAAAGACACCGATGGGCTCAAGACATTGAGTGAGGATTTGGTACACTATATGATGCGATCAAGAGGTGAGAGCGGATCAGCTGATAATCAGGTGATAATTACCTTAATTGCTGGCAAAACACGGTTCAGAAAATAGTAAACCATTTCTCACTTTCGCAATGAGATTACAATCGGAAATGAATTCACAATAAAAACACAAACAATTGATAAATAAGTGAATGAATTATTGAATGCCTTTTAATAGTCAGGCAATGAATGAGTGGTTTATTTAAATACCAAAAATTAAATCACAATTTAATCTCAAAACACATTTCATAACACTTTTCGCAGTAAACGATAAACGCGTTGAACAGCGCATGCGCTCAACAGATGGCACCACACGTGCAGTAGTACTGCAACTGCACTACTGTTTCACAAGTTGTGGTCAAAAGTTTAGGTTTGGGTCAAAGCAAAGGGTTTTCACAATAAAAACAAATTAATTTTTAGATTATCTTCACATTTGATCCAATGGTTGGCTTAAGTAGAGATCGTTTTCCCGACCTATTGGTGGATCCGATGAAACTCTTGGTCGAAGAGTTGACGTGCGGTATCTGTCATCAGATCTATGATAATCCGGTGGAAACCCATTGTCGACACACGTATTGTTTGCATTGTCTCAAAGAGTTGGTCTCAAAACACGGCCAGAAGTTGTGTCCCGAATGTCGCAAATCGTTGACCACTCGGAAGAGGACTCAGAGCGCCATCAATGATAATAATGTGGTTATTATTAACGGCAATGTAATCGTCGACAAGAATGGCAAAGTCAATGCAATGGTCGGCAAATTGCGGACCAAATGTGACTTTGAGGCCAAAGGGTGTCCTAATGTTTGTCCATTGGAGTCATTGCCCGCACATCTGAAGATCTGTCCCTTTAAGAAATGCGAGACTTGCGGACAACCTCTTGAAGCGACGAATCAATTGCTTGAATGGAAAGACAAATATAAGAATTTGGATAAAGAGAAGAAATTATTGGCAGAAAAGATGAGACAATTGGAGACAAAAGTGAAGGAATCGGAGGAAAAGACATTGAAATTAGAGTCGGAATTGAAACGAAAGGATACTTCACACAAATCAATGGTTCAGAAATACGAAGAATTGGAGAAATCATTGAAAACACCGGACTTTGGTATCGATTTTGTGATTCGGTTGACATCAGTACCCAATTTAGTAATGTTAGGCAAATGCACGGCAAATGTCGGGTCCGTTGAGTTCAGTGAATACGGCATCGCTTTGAACAATGTTTTGCCGAATGGCTGTCAAACCGAAAGCATTGATAGATTATATATGCCGTACGAACGCATTCAAAGGCTGTACTCTTGTGTCTCTGTAATGCCCTCACTATCAATGCTTTGCATTAAACCGCGAAGTAATCAAACTTTTTTAAAAGACTATACAAATGACAGATACTATTCAATAACTGATTTATTCAATGATTGTCGCTTTGATGTCAATTCATATGGTTTGTTATAAATATTACCGTTTATATAAATTGCATTATAATTATTATCTCTTTATCAGATCCGAGCGAACAGTATATTATCATTGAAATGATGGATACAATGAAAGAGATTTTTTTGTTACAATTGCAGAAGAAATGCCACAATAATAATGGATTTAATTACATAACAATTGACTTAAAGACCGCACAACGGATGCGAAGGAGGGCTAAGAATTTGAACAATTGAAACGTTGAAGTCTTAAAGACAAACAATAACTTTAAAATTTATATAATTTCAAAGAATTTTTCAAATATAATAATCTTTTTATTAATTTCAATCATTTATATAAACCATTTTTGTATTTAATATTTAGTTAATTAATAAATTCTCATTTCCTACAGAATATGAAATTATTTTATAAGTTTACAGTTAAGTTTAAAAATGATCATGGTCTATAACTGCAACTATTTAAGACTTGACAATACCGTACAAATGATTAATATATAAGTGAATGAATTGTTGAATGTCTTTAAATAGTCAGACAATCAATGACTTAATTACTGAAATGTGAAAAATTAAACCTCAATTGAATCTCAAAACTTATAAAACTTTTTGCACTTAACGAGAAACTAAAAACCGGAACAATACATGCGCTCAACAGATATCACTAGAAATGCATTTTTGTTGACGTTATAAGTTGTGCCAAAACTGGTCTTTTCACTCAAAATACAAGTGGTTTTCATTGAATTAAATGAAAACTTTTCAAAACAAATGCAAACATTTATTTTGTGATTTAAATTGTGCTCACAATCGACCCAATGGTTGGTTTAAGTAGTGATCGCTTTCCCGATCTGTCGACCGAACCCATGAAACTGATAGCTCAAGAGTTGACGTGTGGTATATGTCATCAGATATACGATAATCCGGTGGAAACTTATTGCAAACACACGTATTGTTTGCAATGTCTTCAAGAGTTGGTCACAATTTACGATCAGAAGTCATGTCCCGAATGTCGCAAATCGTTGACCACTCGGAAGAGGACTCAGAGCGCCATCAATAACAAGGATGTGGTGATCATTGATAGCAATGTAATCGTCGATAAGAATCGCAAAGTGAAGGCAATGGTCGGTAAATTGCGGACCAAATGTGACTTCGAGGCCAAAGGGTGTCGTACTGTATGTCCATTGGAGTCATTGCCCTCACATTTAAATATGTGTCGATACAAGACATGCAACACTTGTGGTCAGTCTATGGACGCGAAGAAGGAATTGATTGAATGGAAAGACAATTACAAACTTCTGGAAAATGAGAGCAAATTATCGGCAGAAAAGACGCGACAATTGGAGAAGAAAGTCGAAGAATCGATGGAAAAGGCGTTTGATTTTGAGTTAAAATACACTTCAGATCGAAATGAATGGCAAACGAAATGCAATGAATTGACAGAAAGAGCTCAAGAATTGGAGACAAGAAATAAGGAATTGGAGGAAAAGGCACTGAATTTGGAGTCAAATTGTAATTTAGTTTCGGACAGAACTGAATGGCAATTGAAATGCAATGAATTGACAGAAATTGCAAATGAATTGCTAACAAAAGCGAAAGAATCGGAGAAAAAAGCAGTGGATTTGGAGTTAAAAGTCACTTCAGAGCGAAACGAATGGCAAACGAAATGCAATGAATTAACACAAAAGACCACAGAATTGGAGAAAACACTCAAAGAATGTGAAGACAAAGTTGAGTCGAAAGAGAGACAAAACGATAGTTTAAGCAAAGAATGGCTGAAGAAATACAATCAATTGGAAAATAGTCGCAAACAATTAGTTCGCAAATACGAAGAATTGGAGAAATCACTGAAAACACCAGAAGTTGGCGTAGAGTTTGTGATTCAGTTGACATCAGTACCCAATTTAGTAATGTTAGGCAAATGTAACGCAAGCGTCGGTTCTGTTGAGTTCAGCGAATACGGCATCGCTTTGAACAATGTTTTGCCGAATGGCTGTCAAACCGAAAGCAATGATAGAATATACCTGTCGTATGAATACATCCAATGTCTGTACGCTTGTGTCTCTGTCTGCCCCTTACTATCACTGCTTTGCATTAAACCAAACGGTAATCAAGTTTTTTACACCAAAGGAAAATACTGTTCACTAACCGATGCAATCAATAATTGCAAGTTTGACATCAAATCAAAAGGTATTTATCGTTATTATTATTACATTTTTGTTTTCAAATTAATATGAGTTTAATTATTATATTCTCTCTCGATATCAGATCCGAGCGAAAAGTTTATAATTATTGAATTGAGAGATGCGATGAAAGAAGTATTTTTGGTACTATTGAGACATAAATGTCGTAATAATCGTGAGTTTGAATACAAGACAATTGATTTAAAGACCGGACGACTGATGTTAAAGGGAGCTAAGGGTGCGATCAATTGAGCCGTTAAAGCGTTAAATGCGAACAACATTTTAAAATATAATCACTAATTAATGTAATCATTATTTCGATACAATTTTGTTAATTAAGATAAATTTTATACTTTATATCGTTTTAAATTTTAATAAAAACATATATTTGTAACCATTTTAATGCAATAAATATGTATTAAATCTAGTATTGATATAATTAAGTTGTTGTAAACAATGCATATCAGAACAAAACTTATTATTAACACAGTTTTAAAGTATGTTTTGGGTTATAAACTTGGAGTTAGTGTAGTTCAGGTGTAGTACAGCAACATTTTTAGACAGATAGCGATGAGCGACACAATGAATTTAATTGAAAACTTTTTATATTTTTGTTATGTACCATGAATTATATAAAATTATATTTAAAATACATAAAAATTAAAAATATTAATAATTTAAAAAAGTGAAAAGAAGAGCGAATCGAAACTAACGATAAACACGTCTCAAATATTTTCTCGAGTCCTCAAGAGTCCAGTCTTCAGCCCTCTCTTACCATAAAATGCAAACAAATCAATTGAAATGAAAGAAAAGCAGAAACATGTGTCAATACATAAGAACAAAACAACAAATTCCAATGAAAAACAAATAATACAAAACGATAAATAAGAATTATATTGATTATTTTTTAGAGAGAGAGAGAGAGAGAGAGAGAGAGCGTAAAAGTTGGTATTGGTGAAAGAATAGAAAGGAGAGACAGAACCGCTAAGTTTAGCCATCATAAAAGAGTGGGTAATATGAGAGAGTGGTCTAAACTAAACATGAGTACAATTTTAAATATTCGGTCACTCTTTTCACACCAATCATTGAATTAATACTTTTTAAAAATCACTGTTATTTGAAACTTTTGAAACCGATATTAATAATAAATCAAAAAGTATTTGCTTTAATTGTCAGTGTGATTGTGTGCAGCATTTAAATTATGCTTTAATAAGTTTTAATTTGTTAATATAATTTTTTAATTAATTGCCACTTTAGTCAAAACAGTTAATAACCAAAACCTAAGCACGTGTACAGCTTTTGTTAATCTGCATAACAACTGAAATAAGTTATAAAAAGTATTTCTGTTTCCGATTTGCAGTGAAATCAAAGCTTTAATTCATTGCATCTATGGCTGAATCCGAGATAAACGAGACGTTGTCTTATGAGGACATCATAAGGTCGGCCACAGGAAAGCCGACCCGAAGTCAGACAACAGACAATACTTTAGTCATAGGAAGAGAAGTTTTTGCGGAAAGAAATCGACGCAGAAATGAAATGATCGGCAAATTGCGGATCAAATGTGATTACGAGTGGAACGGATGTCCAGAAGTGTGTCCATTGGAGTCGTTGTCCACTCATCTCAAGACATGTCAATACAGAATATGTCAAAAGTGTGGTTTATGTGTAGATCCGGTACCCGATGGCCACGACTGTGTCGTAAGTCTGAAGAATGACCGAAATGTATGGATACTAAGGACTAAAAACATGGAAAAGAAAGTTGATTCGGTTCGAGAAGAATGCGATACAAAAGTACTGAATTCGGTGGAGAAATATAAAACAAAATGCAAGAAATGGAAAACCAAATGTAATTCATTGACACAAATTATTACAGAATTGGAGACAACATTGAAAGAATCCGAAGAAAAGGCATCAAATGTTGAGTCAAAATACCAACAATTAGAGGATTCACACAAAGAATTGGCGAAGAATTACGAAGAGTTAGAGATATCACATGACATTCCCTTTGCATTAATGCCTAAAAGTGTTTTCTTTGGTAAATTAATGGCAAACGTCGGGTCTATTGTATTCACTCGTCTTAACATACAATTAGAAAATATTGTTTCAAATGATAATCAAAATATAAAATACAACATAACTCTTATGAATAGTGAGATCGAGTGTCTGTACGCTTGTGTCGAGTCCTCACTACCGATAATTTGCATCAAACCACACAATACTTCCGCCGCTAATATCAATAATAAACTGGATTTCCATTCGTATGAAAAGAGTATTCATAAGTTTGATATCAACTCAAATGGTTTGTTAACATTAATATTGTATTATGTATTAAATTTTACATCAATTGAATTGTTAATGAATTATCTTTTGATATCAGATTCGGGCCAACAGTTTATTATCATTGAATTCAATGAACCAATTGATGAGACGTTTGTGAGCAGATTGTGGCAGAAATGCTGTACTAATGATAAGTTTGAATACAAGACAATTGACTTAAAGACTGCACAACTGATGCTAACGGCGGCTAAGAGTACATAAACACCACAATAATTGTTGTAATCATTATTTGTTTAGTTTTTTTTAATAAATACAACTATTTTTTTTACTGATTTAACCATTTATTTAAACATTTTTCAAAAATATTGTGAAGTTTTTTAGAAATAATAATTTCGATAAACTTTAAAAAAACTTTTCATTTTATATTTAATTTAAAGACAATTATCATTTATAAGAAGAAAAAACTTATCAAAAGATTTAATTATAAAAAATATTTCAAATATTAATATAAAAATAAATTGTATTTAAAATGCAGTAAAACTTTATTTGGTGTCAAACTTGACGTCATTTATACGACGTATTCATTGAACGACAAAATCATTGAAATTTCAAATACCAAACGATTTGTCGGAAAAAGTAATCGAAAGACAAAAGCAATTGTTTTGTGATTCAAATTGTGGTTAAATCTAAAGCAATGGTTGGTTTCAATTGTCAGCGATTTCCAGATCTGACCACTGATTTGGCCAAAGAGTTGACGTGTGGTGTCTGTCATCACATCTATGATAATCCGGTGGAAACCCATTGCAAACACACGTATTGTTTGCAATGTCTTCAGGAGTTGATCACAAATGACGGCCAGAAGTCATGTCCCGAATGTCGCCAATCGTTGATCACTCGGAAGCCGACAGAGAGTGCAGTGAATGACAAGAATGTGATTATCATTGGCGGCGATGTTGTGGTCGCGAAGAATAGCGCTGTGGCGGCAGTTGTGGCCAAATTGCGGATCAAATGCTCGTTCGCCGCCAAAGGGTGTGGAGAAGTGTACGCATTGGACGCAATGCCCGCACATATGAAGAACTGTATATTCAGGACATGCGAAAAATGCGGAGAATGTAATGGTTTGATGCATGTCTTGATTCAAGTGCTGCGAAACGAAGTGCAACGACTCGAAGAAGTAAAACGACTCCAAGAACTGCAACCACTTTAAGCATTACTCGCTCTGAGAAACCAATTAATGGCCGAAAATATGGCTTTACTGTCGATCTTAAAGAGGATCCAAAGGAAACTCGAAATGAAAATTAAAAATAAACTAAAATTCTTCTAATTTTATTATGAATTTCCTTTCATTCATATTATCTATAATTCGTTTTCACTAATTAATGGTCAAAATTATTATAAATTACTTATTCTTGTATTCATTCAAATCATTCGTTTTCTTTATAACCAGTTATTTGTATTATGTATTGATTGTAACAATTATTTCAATTAATATCTGTTCTGACAGTTAAATAGTTTGTAATTGATTTGTAATTAATCGACAATTGAATCCAAGAACTACTGTAGCGTTGAAAACAATTGTCACAATCGTTTGTCTCAGTGTTTGTAAATTACATTATTATAAATATAGTCTTTTTGTTGTCATAATAAATAAATTGATTATTAAAATGCATTAATCATTAAATTATTAATGTTTTGAGAAATGTGTTTAAATTTCATTCAAAACTTTGTTTCGTCTCAAACTTGACGTCATTTATACGACGTATTCATTGAACGACAAAATCATTGAAATTTCAGAAACCAAACGATTTGTCGGAAAAAGCAATCGAAAGACAAAAGCAATTGTTTTGTGATTCAAATTGTGGTTAAATCTAAAGCAATGGTTGGTTTCAATTGTCATCGATTTCCAGACCTGACCACAGATTTGGCCAAAGAGTTGACGTGTGGTGTCTGTCATCACATCTATGATAATCCGGTGGAAACCCATTGCAAACACACGTATTGTTTACAATGTCTTCAGGAGTGGATCACAATCGACGGCCAGAAGTCATGTCCCGAATGTCGCCAATCGTTGATCACTCGGAAGCCGACGGAGAGCGCAGTGAACGACAAGAATGTGGTTCTGATTGGCGGCGATGTTGTGGTCGCGAAGAATAGCGCTGTGGCGGCAGTTGTGGCCAAATTGCGGATCAAATGCTCGTTCGCCGCCAAAGGGTGTGGAGAAGTGTACGCATTGGACGCAATGCCCGCACATATGGAGAACTGTATATTCAAGACATGCGTTGAATGTGGAGAATGTGTTGGTTTGATGCATGTCTTGATTCAAGTTCTGGACAACGAATCCAAGGCTCAAGAGAGAGAACTGCAACGACTCGAAGCAGAAATTGCCACAAAAGAGGCCTTAATATCGATCTTAAAGCGGATCCAAAGGAAACTCGAAATGAAAATCAAAAATAAACGAAAATTCTTATAATTTTATTATGAATTTCCTTTCATTCATATTATCTATAATTCGTTTTCACTAATTAATGGCCAAAAGTACTATAAATTACTTATTCTTGTATTCATTAAATTCATTTATTTTCTTTATAATCAGTTATTTGTAATATGTATTCAATGTAACAATTATTTCAATTAATATCTGTTCTGACATTTAAATAGTTTGTAATTAATCGACAATTGAATCAAAGAACTACTGTAGCGTTGAAAACAATTGTCACAATCGTTTGTCTTACTGTTTGTAAATTACATTATTATAAATATAATCTTTTTTTGCTGTTATATTAAATAAATTCATTATTAAAATGTATTAATCATTAAATTTTTAATGTTTTAATAATGTGTTTAAATTTCATTCAAAACTTTGTTTTGTCTCAAACTTGACGTCATTTATACGACGTATTTATTGAATGATTGAATTATTAAAAAAGTTTTTTAATGCAAAAGACTTTGCAATCGATTTGTTTAGTAAACAATGTTTTCAATTGAATGTCAATTCAATTGCTGTTAAAACAATCACTCGTTTAATGCATTCATTCAATGCCTGGCTTTGATTGCAATCGTTTTGTGGATCTGTTGGCCATCGAGTCGTTGTCTGTTTTGGCCGACAGTTTAAAGTGACCATAAACAGATGTTCACAACCTGTTTCGCCACCTGTGAGCTACACCTGTATGGAAGACAGTGCTCACAGAGTTAGTTACCGAGAGTTCTGGCGTCTGGTGGTTTCTCACAGGGCTTACAGCTGTTTCGTTGGTCAATAGGAAGCGGACAATGGATCAGATGAATGATTGCAATACTTTGGTTATCGGAAGCAAGCAATAAATAGAAATCCATAAAAGCGTAAACAAGTAATGTATGTAATAAGAAACGTCAACTTATTATTAATCAACTGAATATACAGTAAACACTCGATATAGCAGTCGAGCATTTGTGGACACTGTATAGAATGTTCATTCTATGGAATGCACGTACAATAGTAGTGACAATAAGTGCATATACTGTTAATAATGAAATAATCATTTATTTCTATTTTGTACACTATATGGAATAGAGTTTCACTATATCGAGTGTTTACTGTATATTTAGTTTATTAATAATAAATTGACGTTTTTTATTACATACATTACTTGTTTACGCTTTTATGGATTTCTATTTATTGCTTGATCGGAAGCAATGTTTTTGTGGAAAGAAATCGACGAATAAATGCAATGATAGAGAAATTGCGGATCAAATGTGATTACGAGTGGAACGGATGTCCAGAAGTGTGTCCATTGGAGTCGTTGTCCACTCATCTCAAGACATGTCAATACAGATTGTGTTTAACATGTGATCTAACAGTGGGTCCGACAAGTGATGACCACAACTGTATTGAAGGCCTAAAGAGAAACCGAAATGAATGGCAAATCAGAAGTAATTCATTGAAACAAAGAGTAAAAACATTGAAAACAAAACTCAAAGAATCTGAAGAAAAGGCAATAAATTTTGAGACGAAATTCAAAGAAAAGGATATTTTACACAAAATATTGAAAGAAAGAGCGAATGAATTGGAAATAAATGCCAAAGATTTTGAGAGAAAGTCCATTGCATCTGATGTTAAACTGAAGGAATCGGAAGAAAAGTCACTGAATTTGGAGACGAAATGCAGACAAATAGAGAATTCACACAAAGAATTGCTGAACAAATACAAAGCGTTGAAGACATCGACTAAAAGTGCCAAAAATGATAGCGAAGTGTTTCGACACAAATTGATCGCCAATTGTGTACAGTTTGGCAAATGTAGTGTTAGTGTCGGGTCTATTGAATTCACTGAATATGGCATTAGTTTACACCACGTGTCAAACGGCACTCTAACTGAGAAACCAAATGTTGTTATATTAAACTACGAGATCCAGTGTCTGTACGCCTGTATCGACCCCTCACTGCCAATGCTGTGCATTAAGCCATACAAAGGTTGTCCCCCTTATGTCGACCATAAGTCCGATTTATTTGGTTTTGGATTTGATGTCAATTCAAAAGGTTTTTTAAATTATTCTTTCAGTATATTAAATGCTATATTATTTTCATAACTTTAACGTATTATCTCTTGACATCAGATCCGAGCGAACAGTTTATTATCATTGAATTGGACGAAACAATTGATGAGACGTTTGTTAATCCATTGTTTGATAACTTGAGTCGAAATCATAGTCTTGTTTGTAAGACAATCGATGCAATAACTGGACAACTGATGCGAATACGAGCGAAGGGTTTGAGGGATCCGTTTAAGGGAACTATCGATAAATATTTGTATAACTTTTCTAAATAATAATGTTTTCACTGCTATTCTCTAATATGAATTATTATTCGTTTTATTCACTCATTATAAAACTAAACTTAATATAACTTATAATTTAACTTTCAAATAAAATGAATGAGAATTAAATTACATTAATTATTCTTATCTAAAAATATTATTAATTACATGCTAAATTTTTAGTTTAAAATAATTTATTACATAAAATATTATCAATAAATTAAATTTTATATAAAAAAGAAACTAAAAGATGTGACAAATCATTCATTAAATTGAAAAATAATATTTATAATCAAATTCTTGGATACTTTAGAGATTTGTGTGTATTCTGTCGATCAGTGGTTAGTATTGCAATCATTTGGTTGTTTTGAACACATTTCTATACATGTAAAGAGCGATTCCTATGATTATCACTACAATTATCACAATTATTATCGCCAATAGAATCCATAGCCAGACGAGTGAAGAAGTCTCTGGCTTTTGAGTGGTTGTTGTGGGCGATAGGGTTGCGGACGTGGGCACCGGTGCGACCGTTGGTGTCGTTGACGACTCTGCCGCTGACGGCACCGGCGATGGGGTGGCAGTAGTGGTCGTGGGCTCAACACAACCAAAGAGATCGCCGATAAGACCCGACTTTAATGTCTGCAGATCTTTGGAAACGTTATGTTTATTAAGAGACACGCGTTTAATAAAGTACTCGTCGTTTGAGAACTCAATCAAATCAAAGGTAAAGACAC